GCCTGATCTATGAATGCAAATAAGGATGTCTATAGACGTCCAATTTAGTAAAATGGAGATTGTAACATTCAAAGCGTTAGAATTCCCTCGAGACAACTGCTCATAAATAAGTCAGAAGATTTTGAAGGCAAATTTTCTCCGTTATCCCTATAAATAACTTCGGCGTTTCATCTCAAGGGCTATACATTTCCATTCAGAAAGGCTGGCATTGCCGACTGATTTATGAATAAGCTTGTCCTACTCATGAATAAATAGGTGTCGCAAATAATACAATAAGAATAAGACTACCTCATTGCCAAACGTGATCTTCCGAGAACTATTTTAGGGACAAGGGTGAGTGACTTATTCATCAAAGTTTATGCATCTAATTTGATAACATCATGTGACACAATAGAAATAATTTCTTGAATGACACACCTATTTGTTAGAAAGAACAAATTCCTATTGGCAAACGAACAAAATGGAGATAAAACTAACTTCCCTACAAGAGAGAAGAGCAAACCAAACAAGACGCGGCTCGACTTTAATGAACCAACAACGCGTAGGTCGGCGCGCAAATCAATAAAACCCCCAGCCTTTCTAGAAGCTTCCACTAGAAAAATCTCAACAGAGGTGACCTCTGGGCATATTGTTCAATAAACGCATGCAAATCAAACATGCACAGATATAAAACGGAACTGGCGATCAGTATTGTTATAGAAAATGGACTCTCAACGAACCGTCTCGTATCTTATTGATGCCAATTGAAGCTGATTGTCGTCCATTTTACGACAATTGCCCGACAGTCGGCTGCGTCCAATAGCAGCTTAATCGCTAAACTATGCCGGGATATTCTCATGACATCTTCCTAATTAATTGAAAGGATATTTCGTTGTGGTAGGTCCTTTTGAGACCCGTCGTATTGTTGGTTACCCGCATGGGGTAACGACTTGATTGAGCAATCGGAGCTCTGATTTACATAAAGTGGAAAGGGTCGATGATCCCTTTGATGTTTATGCTAAGGGACATTAGTAGCAAGTGAGAAGTGGTTCGAGAGTATATTGATCGATGTTGTTGAAGGGTGATGATGAAGAGATATAGTGAAGCAACATCCTGTCTCGCAAAATCTCTAATTTTCAAGCGCCATAGCAAAAATGTCGTTTGCATCTCGAAAGAAAGTAATTTATCTACTTCTAATAAATGGCAAAGTCGCATCGGTTCCATAATAATATTCCTATCCAGTAAGATCGTCAGTGCAATGACATATTCGTCGTATGTAATGTAATCTTGACCACAACGATATAGATACCTTCTATTATATCGATTTGCGTGTGATATTAATATCAATTGACTGTGTTCATATTTATTCGTTGCTAGGTACAGTTCCCTCCATATTTTGTTTAAATTGGTATCTTAGTAAGTTCTCTTAAATTTATGTATTTTACCCGATGATTCATCGATTTCTACAGGATGAAAAATATTTTATAGGGTTGGTAAAATGGAATATGCAAGTAAAGTAAATACTGGTGATCGAATATGTTACACAAAAGTTTCATAAGAAATAGGTAGATAAGTGCACATTGTTTTTCGGAACCCTGACATAATTTTGGTTACAACGAAACAACTGAATCATATTTCTCTAGGTAGGAAATGATAAAAACGAAATGCATTAATATCAAAAATAGTTTTTTATATCGATGACTTCATAGAACGTGATGGAATGATTGATTATTTTCAATTTACCGCGTTTAACACGTACTTAACTCTTATCTTTTTTTATAACAAATTGTACTGATAGTCTAGCCAAAAATAAACCTTATACCTACTTACAAATAGTTTCATATTATAAAACAGTCATTTTAGCAGAAAATCTTATTCTTTATTACTTTTTTAGTAGTGCTGTCTGATGCATGTGGCCTTTTTATTGTTATTTATTTGTCATATTTTGGTAGCAAACCGCAAAACGTTGGAAACTTATTATCATAGTTATATAACAGTGTCAAAATGTAAATAGGTTACGTTAGGTAGCCTAACGAAGTGAGGGCATAAATTTTCCATTACCTACAGAATTTCATTGCGGACGGGTGGCGTTTAAAGTCTATTTGAACATTACCTAGGTCTTTCAAAAGGACACTCTTAAAAGTGATATATTAATCTATTATGTGATAAATAATGTAAAGGTATGGTATTAGCTCGTTCCAAAAGGCAATTTTTTTTGAAAATGAATGCTATTTTTTTTAATGTTTGTAAAACTTAATGTCATAACAGACAGGTTTCATTATGTAGCAAGCATTTTATAGCAAGAAGAAAAATAATAATTAAAGAACAAATTAGAAAAATAATGAGAACTTGAAATGAAATAGACAAAAAAGTCTAGGTTTGTATGATTAAAAAACATACAGTTGTGATTACAATGTTGCAACTAATCTCTACGATTTGTCACAAAATCGATGTTACACTCGTTGTGTAAATACGGGTTGGCAAGTTTCCGAGTCGACTCGAGTCAAAGTCCGCACTAAGTCCAAGGTCTAAAGGAATTCAACTCTGTATTGTTAGTTTTTGTCTATTTTTTTCTCATTTGCAAACGTCGCATGATGATTATCGCATGAGTGGAACTGTATTTTTTTGTCTTCGAACACGCCTCCGAAGATGAATAATTTGCAATAAGAATGAAGTGTCTGGTGACTAATGGCGGCAAAACTGAAAAATGCGAGTTTAAATTTCGAATGTGTCATTCGGATTGGGTTTTTTACTCTATGCATGGTCAGTTTTGGTCAGTCTATATTTTTTTTGTTACGTGTCGAATTTTTTATTCGTCATTTGTTCAATTCAAAGAAGGTTGTGTTGCATTAGGTCGGTAGTTAGTATTTTTTTTTTTATTTTCTCACCCTAGCAAGTCTTCTAAAACATTTTTTTATGGTAACGTTTCTAGATTCTAGTCTATTTCTAAACCGTGTCGTATCTGCATTGTAGTTCAGAGTTCAATTAGCAGTCAACCATTAAACATGCTAATTTCCTATAGACGTTCCGACAATTACTTTGTTTTAGCAAAAACTGGATAAAGTACTGAAAAAAGTGTCTGAACTTTTTGTTCTAACCGATGAAGGAAGTGAATAAATTGGCGGGCCACCTAATATGCAACGAAGCTGAAACATTTTTTATGAATACAACCTTGTTGGATTAATAGATTGGAGAAAAACATTGCATAATGTTGAGAACACGCGATCTCTATTAAAGTACTGTTATCTTTAATATTTGAAGTATTTTAGTAATGAAAAGCCGTGCCATAGTTTCGCTCTAATGAACTTAGAAGAATGAGGGCGAAAACAATATGAAATGAAGTAATTTAGAAATGATAAACAGTTGGACTGCGTATTGTTGTTATAATGCGGTTTAGTTTGCTTTAAAAATGTAGTGGTTGAATAAACGTTCAATGTTATAAATATTCCGATTATGTATCCGATTAAGTTAGGAAGCATAGACAATTTAGTACTTAATATGTTTGAAAATATTAAATATGTACCTTTTATTCGAATCGTTGAATAATAAAACCACGGAAGAACAGTTTATTGAATAATAAAACTAAAAGAAAAAAAGAAATAAAACGATCGACATCAAAATTCGATCTTCGAAGCTGACCCAATCGAAATAATATTTGACCTATCCCGTCTCATCACGAAAGAATGTACCAATTTAACCCATTAACATTCGTATGGAGTTCATTCATCGACTTATCAATTAAATCGCCATATTTGACAAGGGGGCCTTTTGTATCCACTATCTGTTCGCGATAAACTGACATTGCAGGTGGCCAGTAGTAAGTAAAAGTAACGTTCATTCGTTTATTATCTGTGGTGCGCTGAATGAGTAATGGGTAATTCTGATAATCTTTGCATTGAATGTGATCTTTTCAAAATTCGTATTTTGTCGGTTAAATGTGTGTTTGCAAAACGTTATATTTGAGCTTGTGCATTGTGTCTCAAAATTCAATATTTTCCTGTTCCCTAGCCGTAGGAATTTCGTAAAATCCGTTCTTAGTCTCTTAAATACCTATATTCCTAAGAAGCCTTCTATCATGTGTCTTCGAATTGTACATATATTGACTACGTGTTGTAACTTGTAAGTCATTGAGTTTAGTCATTTGGTCATCGGTAACCGAAGGGTTTAGTTGATAATATTTTATGCTTGTAGAATAAAAAAAATTACGTGACAAAGACACAAGAACATAGCTTAAATTAAGGTTTAATTAGCTAAGTGAGCGTGAAAAATGATCAAATAGACCGACCTCTATTTAGGCTTATCCTTTTTAGTGTTCCTAATTGAAATCCTCACGTACATCCAACTGAAGATAAACGGATCTTGTCGTAATTTCGTGCGTATGAAGTATCTACTTCGGGCACCAATGGCCAAATGAGCTGACAGATGACTTGAGACAGTGATTAGTACCGCTTATTAACATATCGATACTATTGAGAGTGTGAAGAAAACGGATCGCTTGATCATACCATAGTGATCACCACGGCTCATTGACATATTATGAAAGTGTAAAGAAGAAGAATATGAATACGAGAAATAAGATACATCACTGCTACATAATATGTTGTATTTTGAGCACCTAAGTTAATATTGTTCATCAACAACCTATGGCAGTTTGCTTCTGAAAGGGGGTTACTATTGCTCACCAAATGAACTTCATCTAACATCTCGTCTTTTCATCCAGTTTAGTTAGTGTCATACCATTGGTCAAGGTCAAGAATTTGCCACATTCTCCACTCTCAGCAAGAGCATTATGGAAATTGCAGTTTAAAACATTCATATTTATCAAGGAAATATTTGGTTTAGAAAATACTACATAATCAAAAACATTACCTACATCTAAATCGTTGTTTAGATAAAATACCTTTTCTATTATAAAATCCCAGTGGTGGGCAGTGAAGTGGACAACAACTGTACGCGTGTAGGCAGAATGGAGCATTGAGGAAATTTTAATGAAACATGACATAAATTCATATCTATGCGAATTATTCATTGCGGTATATGGCATGTATAAACTGCATGGTGTTGGGTACATATAGGTAGGTCACGGCAGGTTTTTCTAGAAGGATTAGTACAAATATTACTTGTTAAAAAAATTAAATTTTTTTGTTAAAGGGAAAAAGTTTTTTCTTTTTTTTTGTGTTTTTTTTTCGCATAATTATGATGTTGCGTGTATTATCGTTTGTATTTGAAAAAAGAACTTGTGATTTGCGATCGGACGCGGTGTCAGTAACAAGTTGTATAAAATGTACTGTTCGGTATAAACTTACTCGGTAAGAATTGCTCATCTTTTATTGAAAAAAAAAACGAAGTATTATTACTGCATTTCTAACATACGGTACTCAATGACAAAAATAACTATATACTTACAGTCACATTTTTATCGGATTAGTGCAACAATCTACAAACTTCGGGTGGCATTGCGAATTTATGGGGAAAAATGAAAAAAAAAACTGGCATTTTATTGATAAAGTTGGATTATGGCGTTATCATTTATATGTAAAGTAGATATACTTTAATATTGCAATGGATTAACTGGACAGGACGTGGGTGTTAGGTGTTCTTTACTGGTAAGTGGCTAGAAAAAATTAAAAAATACTAATGTTCTGATTAAATAAACCTGCTTTTAAGAAAAATGCAGCCAGATAAATGTTTTTTCTTATATTTTGTACTGATAAAATAATGAAAAGTAAAAGGATGTAATTAAGGATGCAATGAATAAAACCCTACTTTCGGAGAAAAAACTGGGTATTTTAATTGTAAAAAAACACTTAAAACACGGTAAATATATCACGGAATCTGACGCAATTAACGAAAAAAACTACAAAAAAATTCTACAATTTTTTCCTATAAAAATCCTAAAATTTTTTTCCTATAAAAATCAATACTATTCTTAAAGAACTCTTAACAGTCATAGCCCTACCGAGTACTGATTATGGCGTCATCGAGCCAGGTCATAATTAAAACAAAAGAAAAAATTTAATAAACACGGCAATGCACGGAACAATTACACTAGCGCTAGAGCTGCGCTACCTAATCGATTAGCTTTGACCTAATGTTGGCCTACTCATAGAAACTATAGAATAAAATTGCCAACGAAATACAATAGAGAATAAAAATGTTAGATGTATGTATGAATGTAGGTATGCTAACAGTTAAACATATGTAGGTGTGGCTGGAAAACTAGTTTGAACGAGTTTTCAGCATAAAAGGACTAACTGAAGTGAATAGGTTTATGTTATACCTACGTATAGTTTTTCTATGTTAGTAGGTAGATTTTAAAAATAGAATTTAGGACAGGTTATATAGAAAACGATTTTTTTTTCAGACAATATGCGAGGTAAATCGAAAAAAGGTGTAACGAAGTTTTGACGTAAAATTCTAATTGGATTCAAATTCTATTACACAAGTTACGAATACCGTCAAACAAAAAAAAAAAAATTCTTAAATTTTTAATTATTTTACTTTTATTCCTCTTACTCCATTTTGGTTATATTTAATTAATTAAAAATGTAACAATTGAATAATGACGTACCAAAGATGTTAATTAAATTAAACAAAACAATGTCATAAAAGTGGGTAGATGGAATTTTATCTATTTGAATTTTATTACTGACTATTATAGGTAATTATCTACTTGAAGAACATAATCTAAAGGATATTATAAATCCTAAACCTGTACAAGAGCAGAAATAGAAAACATTTCGCCAAGTGAAATAAGTACAAAAAGGTGTAGTCTCGCGTCGCCTGACCGGCGCGGCAGCGTGGATATTCGAGCGAGCCGGCCGGCATTCACCATCGATTTTTTCCTAGAAGTATTACAATGATAATACTGTACAAATCCACTCACCGATAGCCTTCATGAACTCGTCGAAGTTCTCCGAAGAGACCATCTTGTATTTCTTGCCGACGAATTCCATTTTTAAAATATAAAAATGATTTTTAGTGATTTAAAAAATATGTGAGTCCGTACTACCGGTCGGAACTGGAATGAATAAACGCGGCAAACGGTACAACTGCTCGGCTCTGCGCATGCGTCAACGAACGAATGACTGAGCTGAACGGAACGAATGAAGTTATTGAACTGAATTGACCTTGACACCGCGCGCTGATTATATACTCTGTAGCGGGTGATATGGAGAGATGGAGGATGGTGTGAGCTTGAAGCGAGATTTTGCGAGCTACGACTTTGTTTGCTTTGCAAATTAGATTATACATATAAAGAAGATGATTACATGTCGTCTGTGGCTTAATCTGGAAATATTGGCAAAGCCAAATAAGTATTTTCGTAATCTTTATGAGAAAATTACAGACTAATTGATACAATCAACATTAAACGTAATATGAGCGAGGAATAGGTACTTATGTGTAACCTCTTGACTTTCTGCTCTTTGTCCATGCCTCCTAGTAACACTAGGACCATTGCAAAAATTATTGAACTAGTTACTCTCTATCCCCTTCTTTCTCAACCAAAATAATATTCCCATCTCTTTCAAGTATTTCTATTCACAAGCCCCTATAATTTTAGTCCCCGGATGAAGCCATTTCGTACAATAAATGTGATTGTTACGTACTTTAATTCCTTTTTTGTTATATTAAATGGGATATAAAAGAAAAATGAAGTCGGTTGATGATGTTTAAATTTCTTTATAACGGAGTATGGGAAAGTTGTGAAGCAATGAAGCATTATATTGTGGATTAATCTTCGACAGAGGACGAATTTATATGTAGAAGGATAAAAAAGATAAAGGGCAACCAAAGAATGAATGAATGAATGAATGATATCAAAGAAAAGGAGTTTGTGATAGAAATGATGTCTGGGAGGGCAGAATGGAAAAAGAAGATATGTTGCGTCCACCCCAACTAAACAACTTGAGATGAAGGCCAGAATTCACTACTAGAAGAAGAAGTCGTAACCTTAATAAACAGAGATGTTGTATTTTGAACCGATACGACTTTCAAACCTTCAGGAAAAGAGCGTATTCCTTTTTAAGAGGCCGACAACGCACCTGTGACTCCTCTGGTGTTGCGTCCATGGGCGGCGCTGATCGCTTACCATCAGATGATCCGTGATGATGCTCGTTTGCCTCCTATTCCATAAAAAAATTGCGTCTATCTATCACTACATAGTATAAAACAAAGTCGCTATCCGCCATCTGTCTGTCCCTATGTATGCTTTTGTTTTTTTTAAGGGGGGAAAATCATCGAGTGACCGCCTGGGTGAGGGGGAAGGGAGTGTCAGACTCTTACTGACTAAAAACCACCCCGTTCCTTCTCCTGCACGTCGAGCCGGAGCCCCGGTTACCCGTTAGGTTCTCCGCGACTCCGAATCGGCATCGGCCCTATTAGGCCCCATCTGTGGTGGTCTGATAGCTCTTTGAGGCGCGCGCGGAACGCGACGCGCCGTACGCTCGGGTCTGTTTCTGGTCGGACGGGGAGCCACCCATGCTCGCCGTCCGCAGGCCCGCGCTTACGGTGGCCGGCGCGATCCCCGACGCCCGGTGTGTCCTTCGCGATGGCTGGGTTGCGAGGAGGCAGCGCTTCGCTGCCTCACGCGTCCCGCCTCCTCCTTAGCTAGCATGACTGCTTCGCAAAAGGAGGAGACGGCATCCCAGTCCCCCTCGCTCCGCATCATGGCCTGCACTAGGCCCGGACGCGAGAGGTCGCCATCGCCGATCACTTCCCTGAGGGCACGGCGGTACTCAGCCCACGCAGGGCATTCCGCTACGGTGTGTTCCACCGTGTCCTCAGGGCGGTCCTCGCAGTGATGACACCCGGGCGTTTCCTCCCGCCCCATCAGACACAGGTACCTCCCGAAACTTCCATGTCCGGTGAGGACCTGCGTCAGGCGGTAGGTGAGGACGCCGTAGCGTCTCTCAAGCCACTCCTCAAAGAGGGGTCTTACCGCTGCAATGGCAGCGAGCCCAATATATATAAAGATACTGGTCTTTCTTTCTGTACTTATGTATTTAAAAGTTGAAACATTAAATAATTTCGAGACAAGCTGCTCCTTGCTTCGCTGTACATTGCTCATATCACAAATTATTATCTACATGCAAAATAATAAATAGGTATACAATTAATATATTTTAGGTCAACCTTTCGACTTTGGACCTTCATTTTGAGATACTGAGTTTTTAATAGATTTATTGGCTTCCTGTAGATTTTACGGATATTGGATTTAACTTTATAGATACTGATAATAAAGACACACACATTCATTCAAGTATTTTATATCTTTAGAAATATATTGTTTATTGTGTTTATTATTTTTTTAATAGGAAAAGCCCTCCATAATCGTCGACTTAACCATGAAAAGACCGGAACACTGAATTGTGTCTGGTATACCCAAAATAATAAATGTTCCATTAAATATGAATAAGATATATTAATTCACAAGAGCGCCTACCATTAAATTTTAAGCAATCGTTTACAGCGTAGGGACTTGCAGTACAGTTTATTATAGGAGCTAGCAATGAAGCAGTTATTTAACCCTTTGAGTACCGTCATTACACAATTAAAGAAAAATAGGTTGCGGTCACCGGTGTCCTCGCGGTGTTTGACATTTTAAAAATGTTAGCAAAAATTTATTCTTTTGCTTGCGTTATCTAAAAACATGATAATCATACAAATTGTTGGTACATTGTAGACGTCTTTACTGACAGAATTGATCTTGTTATACCTAGTTGGATGTTCACAGTTCTGACTAGTCAATTAACACCTTGAACGCCATGGGGGACAAGGTATAGGATTACTAGTGTAGGATTACAAGGTGTAGGATAGTATTAGGATTTACCTTCAACAGTTTTCTGTAGGCAGTCAAAGGCTTAAAGTAAAGGCACGGTAATAATGTTATTTAAAATAGGGTAGTTGCCTAAATTTTATTTTAATGTCCGTCTGGTAGATTAAACACGTATTTTTTCTTTTCTCACAAATTTAAATACTTTGACGATATAATAATCTGAAATATCGTGTGACGTCACAATACGCTACATTTCGTAGCACTTAGAGACGTAACGACCTTACACTCCTAAACTTAACTCCATTTTATTTAAGTATTCTAACTTTATACGAGAAAATAAAACAATACGTGTCTAATATTTTTTCGTTATCTAACTGACGGACTAATTCGGTTTTATGAACCCTAACCCTATTAATAAAAAGGTGTATTATACGTGTTAAAGACAATTATCTATTAATTAAATTATTGCAACTATAAAATTAATAATAACAATATATCCAAAATGTATTAACTATTCATAACGCACTCGATTTCGAAATGGTTTTGGGTTTACAAATTAAGTAAGTATTTACCATGGCTTGAAGCGCTACCGTACTTTTAGATTTGATAGATTCAATCCTAATTATGGAAGGACATAATTTCGGAATCAACATTAATAATGTGATCTTTATTAAAAGTATGGCTCGACCGGAGTGATACCACGGCCTCACAGAAAACCGACGTGAAACAAAGCTTGTTACGAGACAAGCGTGTTTCGCAACGCTTGTATTATCGTGCGAGTGAGGTTATCAGCCGCCCAGTTATCCCCCTCCCAAATCTCCCCAATGCCCCCAATCCCCCTTTCCCAAAAAATCTCAAATTTCTAAGACCCAAATGGCCGTTAACGCATTTGTAACACGTCTGGAGTTTCGGGTGTCCATGGACGGCGTCGATTGCTTACCATCAGGTGAGCAGTCAGCTTGTTTACCGGCTTAATCCAAAAAATATATATATATATATATATGTATATCTTAATATTTATTTGGAGTTAGACCAATAAATCGTTGTGATATAGTTAAGCATTGACACCTAAACTTTGAAAGAGGCATTTTAGGTACGTACCAATCTATTAAATACTTTGCCATTTAAATAAGTTAAACAAAACTTAAATAATAAATATCCACATATGGGACCTTTTATAGTCAATTAGGATTTTCAATATCTTTAAAATACTGAAAGTAACTCCTAAAAGCCCTGATGTCTAGAAAACACTGAAAGAGCTTAACAGTAAACCCTTTATAACCCAAGGGAGATCTCTTTTCTAAAAACGATTTGTCTACAAACCCGAATTCGAATTTAGTATGCTTCAAGTGAAAATATTTATTCTCCAGAGGGATAAACCGAGATGGACGTATTAAAAAAAGTATTTAGGTTACAAAAGTTAGGTTAAAATACTGAGAAAAGCTCTACTAGTTTCAAACCACAGAGGGATCTCACGAGCAGCAAACCTCTCAATTTCGAACCACAGAGGTTCGCTGCTCATAAGATCCCTCTGTGGTTCGAAATTAGTAGAGCTTTTCTCAGTATTTTCACGTGACCCTCCCTCGATGTTTGGTTAATTTAGTATGTTTCACGATAGTTATTATAAAAACAAAGTATTTAAGTATTTCCCTCAATTTAACTCGTATGTTGGTATGTAATATGTTTGCCTGCCATCATCACGCGATTGGCTGAATCGATTTTGATGAGGTTTTCAGGAAAGTGTATGTTGCACTCAGGAGCAGGTTGCTACCATAACCTCGAAGTCGTAAGTAATTAACCGACAGTACCTACCTATTACTTACGACTTCGAGGTTGTAGCCGATTTTTTCAAACAAAGTTTATTGGTTGAAATATGCCCGGTATATGCCAATAGGCTCACCCCCTATTACATGGAACTTATAACATAAATAGTGAAAAGTGGGTGTTACATGGTACAGTGGCATTAAGTGCCGTAATGTGAACCTCTGCCTACCCTTTCGGGGATAAAAAGGCGTGATGTTATGTTATGTTTATGTCAGTTTATTGTTGTGTTGTAAGTCATGTTATAATGTAATGGGGAGTGCGCATATTGTGGTGTACCAGGTACAATTTTGTAATCCGTTTTGCTATTAAGAGCTTCCGAAAACAGAATAACGATGCTTTCCTTGACCCCAGATC